TAACTAACACAATCAAGAAAAGAAGAATCGTCTCTGGTATCATCCATTTATTTTATAATTTTGTAAATTTTCTAAAGCTTTAATGCAGTTATTTATAATTAGCTTTGTATAGTAATATGTGTTATAGTCAATACCCCCCAAAAAACACAAAAAATTAGAAACATTTGCTGTTGAAAGTTTCTGATAATTTGAATGAAGTGAATTTTTGAGACTTCCACTTTTTTTTTTAATTTGAAAGATTAGTATCATAAAGCCAGCAAAGCAGTAATGCATTAAAGAATTATTAGGGGTCTAACAAAATTATTTGGACCGCCAACTGTTGTAACACTGATTAATGATTGCTTTTTAATTAATTGAACGTTGTTCAATCATTGTACCATTTCATTTCATCTGAGAGTTTTTACAGAAGGGTCAGAGCCAAAGCATATGCTAGTATAATCTGCAATAAGGTACATTTACACAATTTTTTTCCACTTGGCAGGGCAAATGTGGGCTATTTATTTCATAGTCATTCACCATGACAATAATTTCCTGCTCAGGCTGGCTAGTTTGAGCAGAGCAAGCAACCTTATATACTAAAATTTAAATAAAGTTGGCTTTCAAACTCTGTGAGCTCAAATAAAATCCACAATAGCCTATTCTTATTGCAGAATCATTAATTACCACGTGGTATGTACTTAGCCTCTTTCTTTTCCATGGAGGTGTAAGGTGCATAGTGTTTGTCTCACCAGACTTCTTTGAAGATGATAATTCCTCTCAGTAGTCTTTGAATAGACAGTGGAGTGGATCGAGGTAGATAATTTAGAAATATTAGCCAGCCGCCCTCTTACAAGGTGTGCATATGTATGCGTTGTGAGTCTAAAGTCCCAGTTCTGCATATGTCCCAGTGAGTGCCAACATAACTGATGAGACTCCATACAGTGGGGTTTCCTAAGTTGCATTTAGGTAAAAACTACATAGGATGTGACTGCAGCCATTAAATTAAAAGATGCTTGCTCCTTGGAAGAAAAGCTATGACCAACCTAGACAGCATATTAAAAAGCAGAAACATTATTTTGTCAACAAAGGTCCATCTAGTCAAAGCTGTTTTTCCAGTAGTAATGTATGGATGTGAGAGTTGGATCATAAAGAAAGCTGGGCACTGAAGAATTGATGCTTTTGAAATGTGTTGGAGAAGACTCTTGAGATTCCCCTGGACTGCAAGGAGATCAAACCAGTCAATCCTAAAGGAGATCAGTCCTGAATATTCACTGGAAGAACTGATGCTGAAGCTGAAACTCCAAAACTTAGGCCACCTGATGTGAAGAACTGACTCCCTAGAAAAGACCTTGATGCTGGGAAAGATTGAAGGCAGGAGGAGAAGGTAACGGCAGAGAATGAGATGGTTGGATGGCATCACCAACTCAATGGACATGAGTGTAAGCAAGCTCTGGGACTTGGCGATGGACAGGAAAGCCTGGCATGCTGCTGCCCATGGGGTTGCAAAGAGTTGGACATGACTGAGCGACTGAACTGAACTGACCTGACATAGGATGTAGAGATTGGAGTGGAGTCAGTGTGTGCCCTAATTATACTGATAATTAACAAAATATGGCCTGAAGATAGAACAATATTGTTAATCAACTATGCTCCAACATAAAATTTTAAAAAAATTAAAAATTCTTATAGTTTGAAAAATGACAAACTTAGGAACAATGACACTTGTTTGCATTGTAAAGTGCATACTCCCCTTACATTCTACAAATGGTTGCAGCCCAGGTTCTGACCCGAGGTGTCAAACCTGCTACTACAGGCGCCCACACACCATGATGATGGTTTTCAGTGGATTTTGTACTCCATGGGGAGAAGAACTTTTGGAGCTACAGTACAGGTGAGTGAAGAACTAGAGGCAGGCTTTCATCTTTAGTTAAGGTACTGGGTCTAATATTTTCCTTAAAAAACAAAATGCACATTTTCCATGTGTATTAACAGAAAGGTTAGGTGACACAGGATAGCTTTAATAAAAAGTCTTTTGCTAGACAATATGTCTTAGATAATAGAAATCATTTGAATAGGCTACTTCTGGTCAGTTATCACCTAATATATCCAAATCATTAGAGTGAGTATAATGTAGTTCATAGAGGTCTTCTACCCCATAACTTAGATATCTCATTTTCACTCTACTTGTCACAGAAAACTACAGTTTATTTTCTAACTATAGTATGGTTAAACTGCCCCCAGTATTATGGATAAAGGAAATAATTCAGAGTTGAAATAATTGAAAGTGTGAAAAAGATGATGAATAACATATGTAACCATAGTAGGAGGTGATATTGGGAAAGAAGAAAGATATCTAGCAGGAAAGGAAACTTTAAATCAGAAAAGCATTTAAAGAGAACAGGCAAAGCTAACATTCCATTCTGTTCTCCCGACAGCATGTCTGTTCAGGCAGCGGATTGGACGATCCACTCTGAGAGGCTAGCTGAGTAAGGAAGGCAGATTTGAAAGGAGACAGCAAGCCAGAAAGATAAAGACCATTAAAGTATACTAACACATATATATGGAATTTAGAAAGATGGTAACGATAACCTTATATGCAAAAAAAGAAAAAGAGACTCAGATGTATAGAACAGACTTGTGGACTCTGTGGGAGAAGGCGAGGGCGGGATGTTTCAAGAGAACAGCATCGAAACATGTATATCTAGGGTGAAACANAGCCCAGGTTGGGTGCATGAGACAAGTGCTCGGGCCTGGTGCACTGGGAAGACCCAGAGGGATCGGGTGGAGAGGGAGGTGGGAGGGGGGACCGGGATGGGGAATACATGTAAATCCATGGCTAATTCAATGTATGACAAAAACCACTGCAATGCCGTAAAGTAATTAGCTTCCAACTAATAAAAAAAAATGGAAAAAAAAATATGTACAAAAATAAAAATAAAAATAAAAAAGAAAGGAGACAGCAGGACAGAGAAAGCATACAGCAGAGGAGTGGCCTTCAGACTACATGTTTAGCATGGCAGGGATACGCGAATTTCCCCAGGATCGAGTGAACACAACAGAAAGCTGGAATTGAGAAACCATGCTATGAACTCTCCCAAGAAAACCATCTGCAGCACAGGGGACCTGGGCCTGAAATTAAGAAGCTATGGGGTCTACCACTGGGTGCTCATAGCAAGTTCACGGGCAGATGGGATGCTCAGGACCCCAACAGCAAATAACACAAAAATTACATGAAGAGAGTTAGTATTTGGGCAGTCCACTTAGCCAGTCCGTTTTAACCCTAGAAGCAGTGGCAAAAAGGAGAGTGCTCTCTCATCAACCAGCGGTATATGAGAGAGATTTATGTGAAATAATAACATTTGCAGCAACATGGATGGTTCTAGAGATTATTAAGCTAAATGAAATAAAGCCAAAGATAAATATATGATATCACTTTTATGTGGAATCTAAAAAAAAATAAAAGTGACTCACAGACTTAGAAAACAAACTTACAGTTAGCAAAGGGGAAAATCAGAGAAGGGATAAGTTAGGAGTTTGGTATTAACATATACACACTAGAATATATAAAATGGGCTTCCCCAGTGACTCAGTCATAAAGAACCAGGCTGCCAATAGAGGAGACACAGGTTCGATCTCCTGGAGAAGAAAATGGCAGCCCACTCCAGCATTCTTGCCTGGGAAATCCCGTGGACAAAGGAGCTTGGCAGGCTACAGTACATGGAGTTTCAAAGAGTCGGACACAACAAGTGTGACTAACTCTTTCCTATGTACATGCACTGAATCGAGACTAATCAAAAACCTCTCAATAGAAATGTTCAGTTAGCACTTCCCTGCATTGAAATTGACATTAGCTGCCAGAACATTCTACCAGATGCACAAAAGGAAATAGGAGGAAAGCAATATACAAGATACTTAGAAGGAATTTCCTCAAATTTTTCAATAGACCTTATACAGAAGAACTGCTATGATTCATTTCCATTATAGACAACTATGTTGATAGCCAGTGTCTCCACTCCTATCCTGATCTGTTACCTTAGGAATTTTGTCACCTTCATAATATCCTCCACTGTCCAGCCAAATCCACATGACCTACCATCACAGTCTAGAGGATTCTGGACCATGCAGAAGCCAACACAAGGAGTAATGCCTAACAAGCCTATAGATTCCAAATGATTCCTTGAAGAATTGCACTTAAAACTCCTGTATAAACATCCCACCCTGACAAGCGTTCAGGGCTGGTGCACTGGGAAGACCCAGAGGGATCAGGTGGAGAGGGAGGTGGGAGGGGAGATCGGGATGGGGAATATATGTAAATCCATGGCTGATTCATGTCAATGTATGGCAAAAACCACTACAATATTGTAAAGTAATTAGCCTCTAACTAATAAAAATAAATGGAAAAAAAAAAGCTCCTGTATATTCCACAATGGTATTCATATACTAACAAAAGAAGAGAGAAAGAAGAAGGGTGACTTTAGAAATGCTCTCTCTAGGACTTCCCTCGGTGGGCCAGTGGTTAAGACTCTGTGCATCCAGGGGGCACAGTTTCAACCCCTAGAATGGAGATCCCACAAGCTACATGACACAGTAAAAATAAATAAATAAATACACAAAATCATGCTCTCTTTAACTTCAAAAACTGTTTCAGAACAGATGATTTTATGTGATGATGATTCCCTCCTGCCTGGCCTATGAAACTCTGCATAATATATGCAGGGGTGCAGTGTGGAAAGACATTGGAACTATGGTGGATTTTTAAGGTTACAAGGTGGAAAGAAGTGAGCTCACACCATGAAAAGCACCGCAAGGTATTCCTGCCGTCCTGCAAAAAAGGTGCAGTGGCAGCTGTCACAATTTTTCTGGACTTGGACAACGAGGGAAAGGAGCAGGTTTCTGAGTTTCCCCAGGAGACCACTCAGCTGTCAGTCCAAAACTGAAAAACAGCTCAGCGGGGACTCGTTTAAGAGTGTGAAATTCAAAGAACTGCAGTATAACATTGATTCCGTCCATGCCATACTTACTAACTTTACTCGCAATTATGGAGAAATTATACTGCGCAGTGCTTTCTCTGTCTAGTAATTCATTAGTGGCGATGGTTCCTTCAGTCGCATCTATTGTAAAGTAGCTGTCCCCATCACTCTTCCAATCTATGAGGTACCTGTGTACAAAAAGAGGAGATGCAAATGTGCAATGATTACACATTCATCATTATGCCAGTCAGGCTAACCTGACACAGTTCCTTATTTTTCTCCCTGTAGCTATTACCCACCTTGCAATAAAGAAGAGTGTAAGTGACAGCTTCTTTATTGCAAAGTCAGTATGCTCAAGGGGAAACTGGGAATAATGAAAGATTTAGTACTCCTGCTGTTCATATTATTTTAGGGTCTTGACACCTTGAAAGCTCAGCAGAGACTAAAATTCTAAAGCTGACCATGGGTTTCCTTAACCTGCTGAATATTAAAACTTTTTCAAGCAGTAAAAGATTCCTTAATGGTGGCTGTGGGAAGAGCTGGGGGTGTGGTAGGCATCTGGAAACAGCAACAAAGAACTTAGGTCAGAAAAGAGGTAGCATCTTTGTTTCCATGGACAGAAAAAAAATCATGTTAAGGAAACTAGGTAAATTCTTAAACTGACAGGTGCTATAATTGCACAGAAATATTTTCCTCAAACACACAAAAAATGACTATGATTGTTTTATTACTCTTAAGTATCAGAACAAGTTCCTTAAAAAAAGTGACCTTGGCTATACTGTCTCTTTATGTTCTTTATTAGCCAAACTCCTTGATAGTAAGTGATCCGCTTTCTTTATGTTAAACAGTTGGAATAAGAAATCCAAGAATATGAATTTTAAAAAATATGCATTTGTATAAGTCTTTATGTAGCAGTGAACATAGACAGTGATATTTATAAAGTCATTTTAAAGGTATATTTTCTATCATCATATTAACAGACATTTTGAAATCTTTCCATGTGCCAGGTATTGTTCTAAATATTTACATATGTTAATAAATTCTCACAACAACCCTAAATAATGATATTATTAATCACCTTATTCCACAGGTGAGGAAATTCCTGAAGTTCACAAAGTTAGAAAGTTTTAGTGCTGATATTTGAACCAGGTCATAAATGTTTCCCACATAATTATCATTGTGTATAGACTTACCAATTTTAAACGGACCATTTTAAGTGAAAAGGCTCTGCTAATCAAAAGGCTAAATGCACAACATATTTATCACCATTTTTGTGATTAGAGAATCAAGATGAGGTCCTTACAAACAGTGGTTGAAGACAGATGACATCATTGTAGTCAGCCCAGCTAAATCCCCGGTCATCATGAAATGTTAATTAAAGCTTGTGTTTCAAAATAGCAAGTTTTAATCTTGAAAAACAGGTTATTTAAAATTGGGACAGTGTGCATAACATTTTATAACTAGATCAAAACTAGTTTGTCTCTATAGATTTATTGTTTGATTTATAACTTGTCAGTATTCATTAGTAACTGATAGGATCAGAGTAAGAAACAAGCTTTTTATCTGCCTTTGATATTTCCATTGTTGATTTTTGAAATGCATTGATGCTTTATGAGTTCAGTGTAGCATCCTGTCTCATAGAAATGATCTCAAAAATTATAAATGAACTTAAAAACCAGAGAGTACAGCATATAATGAGCTTCATTCTCTCTATTGCAAGATGCCCTTTTTGGAACGAAAAAGCATCTTCTCACAGTACCCATTTTCAGCACCTTTATTCAACTTGGTAACATGCCTAATTGGAGGTAGATTGTTACTGAACTCCCTTGGTGACTATAGCATTTCTGAAGAATTGCTGGTGTAGACTAACAGTGGTTGGGGTTTAATGGTAGAATTCACTAAATATTTGCTGAGTGCCCACTATGCTGCAGACATTGTAGTAGGGTTGAAGCACAAAGGAAATTATAAAGTATAATGCTCACTAATAATGAGTCTAGTTGGAGGAATGTATGTAAAGAGGATTATTATGTTTGATAGAAGGACAGAAAAGACAATACAGGAGTACAAAGATCCCTGGTTCAACACCTATTGGTTCAGGCAAACCTCCCAACACACGATGTTTGACTGGCATTAGAAGGCTATAAAGGAATTATTTATGAGAAGAGAGAGGCAGGCAAAGTAAGGTGAAGAGGAAAGATATTTTAGGAACATCAACAGCAGCAGCAAAACCATAGACTGCAAAACCAAACCCACTTCTCCTGCAATGAAAACAAAATACCCTTGAGTTTTACTTTCTTTGTAGTAGAAATCAGGCTTGATTTCTAAGGTATAACCTTTAGTTTCAAAATGCTCCTTACATGGAGTTTGTTTAGAAGTTACTATTACAAATGATGTGTTATATATGTAGAATAATTATGTGTTAAGTAGGTATTTATTCCATTGTGGTGCTCTTCTTAGCTTCCCAGGTGGTGCTAGTGGTAAAGGACCTGCCTGCAATACAGGAGACTTAAGAGACATGGGTTCGATCCCTTAGTTGGAACAATCCCCTGGAGGAGGGCATGGCAACCCACTCCAGTATTCTTCACTGGAGAATCCCATGGACAGAGGATCTTGGTGGGCTACAGTCCTTGGGGTCGCAAAGAGTCAGACACAACTGAAAAGATTTAGAACACATTCACATGCAGGCAGAACGAAAGAAGACACGAAACATGCCGGTGTCCTTTACTTTGACCAGTATACTCATGTGAAGTGGATGTTAGATTTACTTGTCATCTTTAAGTGTGATGGAGATAGGACAGGAAAATGGAATCTATAGAAATTATTAGTTTGGATAAGTAGAATGAAGACTTCAATGTCAGAGCTTCACAAGGTCATAACGGGTTTCCTCAGAAAACCATAAGCACCAAGAGTAATCAAATATTGATGTAAAAATATTCATATTTGGTACAGATATGGTAGAGCATTAAATCTAAGTGTGACTAGAAAGCCTGAATATAACTTGCAGTGCTGAGTTACTAATTTCCATACACAATGGATGGAATTCCCATACACTTTTCATGGATGAAATATTTTTTAATTATTGTTTCCTGTTTCTGTTCTGATCTTAACAAACATATCTTGTTCTGAGCACTACAATAAAGTCTCACTTTTCAAGCATATGCTTCCTTTTTTCCTAAGCCCTATTTTAAATAATAGCTTTATCCACATACTATTGGAGAAGGGAATGACATCCCATTCCAGCATTCTTGCCTGGAGAATTCCATGAACAGAAGAGCCTGGTGGGCTGCAGTCCATGGGGTTAAAAAGAGTCGGACATGACAGAGTGACTAGCACTTCATATACTATACAATTTCCCAATTTAAACTGAACAAGTCAATCATTTCCATATATTCAAGTTGTGCAGTAGGTGGTAAGTTTTAAGATGTTTTAAACTTATTCATTCATTTTCTTTTTTCATTTAATTCATTACTTGGGGTAAGCTCCAATTACCTGGGAATTTCACTTCTATAGATTGAAGATTGTGAAGGTGTGGTGTTTCTGGATTTTTCCTCTGCTACTTCCTTTTGCATTGAGTGCATATTATTCTGATGGAATACTAATTCTTTTATTAAATAATAATGTTATACTCTATATTTTTAGTTATTTTATTTTTATCTGTTCCAGGTTTTACTATATACTGCTTAACATAGATTGAAATTTATGTTAACTTAATTCTAATAAAATATAGAAATCTTACTCCTATGTAGCCATGTGCTCTTATATATATGAAAAGTGAAAATGAAGTTGCTCAGTCCTATCTGATTCTTTGTGACCCATGGACTATAGCCTGCCAGGCTCCTCCATCCATGGGATTTTCCAGGCAAGAATACTGGAATGGTTGCCATTTCCTTCTCCAGGGGCTATTCCTGACCGAGGGATTGAACCCAGGTCTCCCATATTGTGGGTGGATTCTTTATCAGCTGAGCCACAAGGAAAGCCCATATATACATATACATATACATATATATTAGCATATTTTTTCCCTGGTGGTGGCTCAGTGGTAAAGAACCCACCTGTCATTGAAGAGATACAAGTTTGACCCCTGGGTCAGGAAGACCCCCTGGAGAAGGAAATGACAACCCACTTCAGTATTCTTGCCTGGGAAATCTCATGGACAGAGGAACCTGGCAGGTTACCATCCATGGGGTCACAGGAGAGTCAGAAACAACTTAGCAAGTAAACAACAACAACAAACAATATGTTGATATGGCAAAAAATTTAGTAAAACATTTTTATAATTAGTGCTTTCATAACCTTATGTCTATTAAAGCTGGAAAATAAAGGGAAGCAAATATTTTGGGAAGAGCTAAAGTTGTCTAGTCCTACAGACTCTTTTACCCTGAGAAATTCTCTAACTTCTACAGGTCCTGGATGGAGGCAGGATGGTCTTCTCATTTTGTTCTCATTTAGACTCTCCAGGAATGAAGCAAACAATATGAAGTGAGGGTGACTAGACTCCAAATTTTCAGCCTGCCTAGGAGAGGACTTCTCCCTGTGAGTGAGGTTGAGTGGAGGAAGCAACCGGCCAACCGCTCAACTAGGAGTTTTGCTTCTGAGAACTCAGAAGTGGAGATTGGAAACACTGGCATCCTGCCCCTCCCAGAAGGATGATATACCCCATGATTGAGAGCTGAGGACAGAGGAGTCATCTTTTCTCAACAATTCTGTCCAGAGTCCAGAGAGAATTCTCCATCCGGCTGAAATGACAGACGAGAGTGGAAGCGAGAGAACAGGTCCTGGGTCAAGCGCCACAGCCTCTTGCTGTTCTCAAGGAGTTTTAGTCGATCTTCTTGAATAAATGTTTCATCATTTGCTATATAGAATAGTTAAATATTTCTACTTCAAGGAAACATATCTAGGACTCTAAGAATGTCTTACTTAGGACAATACACTATTTCAGGTTTGCTGAGTGAGGACTTTCTCAGGACTAGTGCTGAGTGTCCTGAGACCCCAAAAACACCTTGGTCCCAGGAAAGAAATGGAAAAACTGATCACCTTACTTCTAGTTAACACTTACAGTATCTTACAATTTATAAAGCTGATTCAGACAGAATATGTGTACGATGAATCACTATACACTCACAAGGCATTTTTTAAATATAATTTTTACAAATATGTTATTTATTTGTTTGTTTTGGGTGTGCTGGAT